GATTGATTGATTAATCTTTTTGGACAAAATTCCTTTCAATTATTTAATTAATTAATTAATTAATTAACGAAAAATTCAATCCGGAATAACCCATGACCCGTGACCCAATTCGGTCAGGCCCGTTTTCTTTCCCGGATTATTTTAAATATATTTTTCCCGCAATATTTCAAACACCCATTTTCAACAGCCATGGCTGTTTCTGAAAGGTTGCAAACCTTTTCAGAAACATTGCCATCAACTCTATAAATAAAGTTTGAATCTCAGAATCTTTCCTTACGAAATTTTTTGAGCTTCTTCTTCTTCTTCTTCTGCACAATATTTTCCAGTGTGTTTTACGACCATTGAGTGGTTCGCAGTTCATCAGAGTTTTGGTACCTATACACTGGTGAGTTAAATCGTTCTATCCTGGGAGGATACATTCCAGCACCTCGGGTACTTGAGGGGAATAATTTTCTTAAGGACACACTGTGTATTCAGTGGGCTCGATTTATTCCAATACTGTTTTCTTGTTTTCCAGAATCTATTTCGTTAAACAAGTATTACTAATTTTCTGTTTTATTTTTTCAGAAAGTTTAATTGTTTATTATAGCAATACAGAATAATAACAACCTCTTCCATTTCCCATTCACACCCTTTAAAGAAAAAACGCAACAGAAGTTGCCTTAGTGATTTTTTCCCCAGGCAACAAAGTCTACTCGTTTGGCCACCCTTCTGTGGATTTGATCATGGATAGGTTCCTCGCAGAGAACCCTCAACCCAATATTGATGTTTCTAACCATCGAAATGCTAATGTTGGTGAGGTCAATATGGATGAGTTGATCGACAAAGAGGGCCAGTGGATCTACTTCAATTCAATAGTTCTCAAGCAGTTAAATTCTCACAATCGTCGTTTTATTTTAAATATTTATAGTTATCTTATATAGACATAATTGATGTATATTTTATCCATATTGTTAGCAATTGCTCGGTGTGGATAAACTATCAATTAAATTTGTATTATCTATAATTTTAATATTATTTTCAGTGAATAAACAGTATTTATGCCATCTATTTAGTCTGCGGGTTTAATCACTCAATGAAGTAAACATTATTCCCTAAACGCTTAATTAGTAAAAGATTAAATTTGAATCTGACAAAAAAGTTATTTAAGTTAGCTTGAAGTGTTTATTTACCAAAAAAAAAAAAAAAAAAAAAAAAAAAAAAAAGTTAACTTGAAGTACAAATTATCTCATTTAAGGAAATAAATATCTAATGGAGTGCATATACCTATACGCATAAAAAAAAAAAAAGCAATACATCGATGAGAACTTTAAGCTTGATTGTACACATATATATTTAAGTATTTTGAAAAAGTATAACATTACTATACATGATCTAGTGTGGGGAGCACGGCAGAGGTAGGGGTGTCAATGGATATTTAAAACCGACTAAACTAACCGAACTGTACCGCATCGAACCGATTTTTAGGTTTCTTTTAATAAAACCATAAGTTTTTATATAAATCTATAACCGTACCGATAATTAGGGTAGGTCTTTTATTTTATGAAAATAAACCGAAAAAATATCGAACCGTACAGAATAAATTTATATGAAAAAATATATTTATATATTAAGTTTAAAAATAATAAAGCATTAATATTTTTCTTGGGCCTTGAAATAATGAAAACGATTACAAGCAAACAAGTAATTAAACTCAAAATTCTTATTCCCAAACCTATTATACTACTATTGAAACTAAATTATTGTAAATATAGTTTGTTGAAACTACTCGAATCTAGCTCAAAATTCCTAATGTAAATATAGTTTGTTGAAACTAAATTATTGTAAAAATAATGAAACTACTCGAATCTAGCTCAAAATTCCTTTCTACGTTAATTAAACTCAAAATTAACGTAGATTCGCCCCTGCATGTACTCCACGCAATAGTTCAAGGGGGTAATAGAACCTCGCAAAATTTAAGTGTGTATTTGAAACCCTGCTATAAGTGATGAGGCAATTATGCATTTTCCCTAACCTATCATTTGGATATGTAATTGCAAATATTGCCGTTAGTAATTATTCTTTATTAGGAAACAAATACAGATAGCAAACTCTCCTCATTTGGATGCTAAGTTGTCTGACATATGCATTGGCACCTCGGCTGCCCCAACTTATTTTCCTCCATATTACTTTGAGAATGATGATGGTAAAGGAAATCAGTATGAGTTCAATCTTATTGATGGTGCTGTTGCTGCTGCCAATCCGGTACATTCCCTCAACAAGCATACTCATTACCTATACTTTAGTAACCATAATGGGTCTTTGATTATCATAGAAAAAATCACTGTGTCAATTAATATTGGTTGACAGGCCTTAATTGCGCTAAGCACAGTAACCAGAAGTGTGGAAGCGGATCCATCATTTGCTTCTATCAAGCCATTGGACATCAAACAAATTCTGCTGCTCTCATTAGGGACTGGCACTACTGCAGATTTTGCTGGGACATACACAGCAGAGGAGGCAGATAATTGGGGTCTTGTTTCTTGGCTATTTCATAATAATTCGAACCCTCTTATTGAAATGTCATCTGAAGCAAGTGCTATTATGAATGATTATTACATCGCCACCATCTATCACGCTCTTGGTGCTGAAACGAATTACCTCAGGATTGAAGTAAGGCAATCTCGCTCAAAAACACCGTAACACTCCTAGTTATTCCCTCCGTTCCATTTTATAACGGAGTTTAGAGAAAAATGAAGACTTTTGAAACTTATTACGTAAAACAAGTCATAGATACCTGTAGGACTATAAAAGCTTTTCATCAAGGGCAAGATATGAAATTTAAGTTAAATGGTTACAAACTTAGCTAGCGTTTGGAAATAGATTTGGTTGAAACTTGAAAAATTAGTTTTGAAAGTTGAAGTTGTGTTTGGACATGTATTTTATTTGAAATAAAGTTGAATTTTTGTGAGTGAAAGAAAATATTTCACCCAAAACTGTCCTATCTTGAATTATTCTTTTTAAAAAATTGATCATATTCTATGAACAAACAGTGTTTTCAAAAAGCTTTTGAAAAAAATCCCAAACTTTATAGCCATACGGGAGCTTAGAAAGTTGCCATTCTTTTTGCAATAGACTAAAAATTAAATATTGTCCTATAAATTGGAACGGCGAGAGGATTATTTCAAGTTGATTAATGTAAGAGAGAACTTTCTTTACCATTTCGTCTCCTTTTATTTTATGTTCCTTTCTTTGTATGTAATACCAGGAAAGGGCATTAACTGGCACTACAACCCAAATGGATAATGCTACAGAGGCTAATATGAACTTATTGGTACAAGTTGGTGAAAACTTGTTGAAGAAACCCGTATCCAAAAAGAATCCTGAAACCAATGAGGAAGCTCTAAAGAGGTAAGACATACTATAATTATCTATGCACCATTATTCTTTATCTATTTAGAGTTTTAACTTTAGTTCTAATTATAAATCTATTTTATTGCTAGTTATAATACTGTCCTTTGTACACAGGTTTGCGAAATTGCTCTCAGAAAGGAAGAAAAAACGTGCAAACAAAGCCGACTCATAATAATTATGCTAAAGAATAAGCGCTTGTAAGGCATGCATTAGCCCGTCAAGTCTTGTGTTGTTTTAGAATAATCGTGTTTTTCAATTTCAGAAATAAAAAGAAGAGAGGGATAAGTTTCAATAGAAATATCCCTCTCTATGTAATACGCTAATTATAAGGACTACGTAAACTTTTGGTTGTATTATTCTAAGCCAAACCAATGAAAATGAAAATAAAAACATTTGTCGTACATTGTAACGCGTTTTGGCCAACCCCCATAGAGGTACCACGAGGGAGGTTTGGTACCAGTTTTGGTTCATTAATTTTTTCAACTTTTAATCCTTAACTTCAAAGTTCAAACAAGTGCGGCAAACAGACGGGTTGGGTCGAATATGACGGGTAAATAATAGGTAATATAAAAACGGATAAATTATTCGACCCGATCCATATTTAATATGGATAAAAAGTGAGTTAACCGGCGGATAATATGAATATCCATATTATTAATGGCTTCTTGAATATGATCACTTTTGGGACAATTTCTAGTCTCCCAAACTTGAGGAACCCTCAATTTGAGGATTTATAAATGTAAAATTAAGCCATTAGTTATCCATTTTCTAAGTGGATAATATGATTCTTATTCATATTTGACCCGTTTTTAAAAAGTTCATTATTCAACCCATTTTAATGGATAATATGAGTGGATAATTATTTTCTTTTATCCATTTTGCCACCACTATTCAGAGGCGGAGCCACAGTGTCGGTTACGGGTTCAGCCGAACCCAGTAGCTTTGGTTCAAATCATGTATTTGTCTTAAAATTTTTATTAAATAATTACAAATTATTAATTAAAACCCCAGTAACTTAAAAGTATTAGGAACCCGAACCCATAAGTTTGAAATCCTGGCTCTGCCCCTGCCACTAGTTCAAACCATGCATCAAAATATTTGAATAACATTATTATCCTCACGTGTGGGTACATCTCGGCGACACTGTAATTGTATCAATTAAGCTTTAACTGACTCAGAACAATTATCCAAAATTTATGGAACCTGACAATATGGCCAAGCGCTACATAAACAGAAAGAACGTAAAAAAAAATTCGTCATACATGTTTTTGTTTTTCCAGTTCTTCTACAACTTCAGATTAGTGAACATGGGTGAAACCTTCCAAAGCAACTTTAGAGCTAGTGGTCTAATGTTTGGTCATAATTTTTTTATGGTTATTTTACAACGTTAGACCATCGAGTCTAAAATTCCTAGCGAGCTTGGGTGCGCCACTACAAGAGAACATGCGATTAGCTAGGGGCTTTTGTATCTATATTTGATTTTGGGGTCAGAATTGAATTGGTTGTTTTTCTTTGCATTTTAGTTAGTAATTCAATTAAAGCTTTAGGTGATAATTAGTTAATTATTAGACAAATTGAATAATTAGGTTAGAGTCAAATTAGAACTTCAATTTAATTGGCCAAGTTTGAATTAGAATCAAAAGAAAATTTGTTGGGCAAGCCATGAGGCCCAAACTCCTTGAATAATACGCCTAGACCACCCTCAAAATCCGGCCCAGATCCCTTTTAATACCAAACGACCCCGTTTTGTCCCTGATCAATCATAGCCATCCCTCAAAATCAATCTAACGGCTACGAACTGAACTCCAAACCCCCTTAAAACTGTCTGAAAGAACCCCCCCAAACCCTAAAGACCAGTCCCAATTCCTCATCCCTCTCACCCTTAGCCGCCTACCACCCCAAAGAGTATCTTCGTCGATGGCTCATCTCCAAATCCGCCAAAATCATCACCAAATAACCTCTGTTCCCTCCTCTTTCCAAATCTCTTAGCCTCATCTCTCGAATTCCTCTCAATTGATTCGTATAGCAGATCTAAAAACGGATAGAAACCCTAGTTTGCCTATTTTTACCCAATTTTTCAGTGGTTTATGAACTCGTTTTGACCGCTTAGATTACCTCCGAAGTTGCTTCTTCTTCTTCAAATTCGGCATGTAATGAATATTGTTCCATGTAGCATTGGCTCGCATGTGAATTTGGCGGCAAGTGCTCACGTTACAATCTCCATTACCTGCCGGAATTCCTGTATTTGTTGGTGTTCGTTTGGCTTGCCGGATTCCAGTTTTACGGATTTGTTCAAGGTTAATCGGGGTAAATTTTTGCTGCTCCAGTCTCTTTAGTTGTCATGTTCATTTTGTTTGACTATAATGACTTTCCGTTCATGACTGGCTATGTGAATTCGTGTAGGTCGTTTTAAGATCTTTTCTGCTATTAAATTGCATTCGATTTACTGTTAGTTAACATTTCTTGTTTTTGAGTTGTAATTGTCTAAGTTCAAGTGTTTGTTGCCTTATTTAATTTACAAATTGGTTTAGTTGATTTGTTGGGATTAATTGGAGCAAATATGTTATTAGGTTGATTTGAGTATAGAGAGAGTAAGAGGTTTGAGATAGGTTAATTGTATTTTTATGCAATTAAAAGATGTAGAGGTCCAGTTATGATTATTGGACTAAGGCCCAATACTTGTTTCTTTTGGGTCAGTCTAGTTTAAAAGGACGAGGATCTAGGGGTAATTGCTTAATTTAGGGAATATTACTGAAAGGTTCTAGAAAAGGAGGAAAAGGACTAGTCTGCAATAAAACAACACAATATGGCAAGTGTTTAGAGGGATGAGGGGTAAATACAGAAGTAAAAGGGGATAAAAATGAGGAAAGTATATCTGAAAGGGGACAATTGTCCAAATCTGTTAAAAAGATGCCTTTTCCCCTTTGTTTTTAGGGCTGACAGATTTCATGATCATTCTCTCATATTTTTTTGCATATAGCACACACGCATATTCNTTATATATATATATATATATATTCCCTTACTCATTCTCTCATAGACAGACCTTCCTTTACAATAACTCTCACTCTGCATTTTCGCACTCACACACACAAAAAACAGCTGAGAAAAAAAGTTGAAAGAGATTCTGAGATCTAAGCAAACCAAAAAAAATGTTCTGGAAAAGGAGAAAGCAGTAGAATCTGAAGTTGTTTTTATAATCCAAACAAATCAAAACTCGTAGTTTGTCTTGAAAGCTATGTTCCTTCTACATTTCTGGGTTTCCAAGTTGATTTAACTGGGTTTTATTGTTGATTCATGGCTGTTGTAGCTGTAACCAGTAGTTGAGCTCATTCCTTGCATTTTCAGACCTTTATTTGGTCCTTTGCTTTTATTTCTGCCTTTAGATATGTAAACCCTCACTTATCCTCTTGTATTTTGAGTTAATGAAATGAAAATGTGATCTGCTCTATGTTACATTTGTGCTTGATTACTTAAGATTTTACATGTTTGGCTGTTAAAGGTGGCTTTGATCTCTAGTTTGTTATGCAACATTGCCTGTGTGTTTGAATTAAGTATTTTCAGTGTTATTTGTTTGGCATGAACATGCTCACTGTTGGATCTTCTACCTCATTTTATTAATATTGATTCATGCTCGTAAGGTGATTTAAAGGGTGGTACGCCTGTGTGACTGACCACCAGTTGGTCAAATTCATTTCGGAAGAAGCCTAGCTCAATAAGTTCTAAACACAGAAGTTTAAAGTATGATAAATTCCATAGCTGTCGCATGAATGTGAGCGTTAATTATAGAGATTTACACTACTAGAAAACTGTCAAATTTCATCCACCAAAATCGACCGAAATCGGTCGAAATTAAAGGAAAAACGACCGATTTTCGACCGCTTTTAATTAGTCAGAAAAATAATGGTCGCTAAGGTGTTGCGACCGAAGTCGGTCGCAATTTTTGACCAAAGTCGGTCTGTTAATTCAATGCTTTGACTGACAACAAAAATAAATATACCGATGTCGGTCGGTATTATTTAAATTATTTTTATTTATTTTTCAAAATAGCGACCGACATGTAACGACCCGGGTGATCGTTTTGAGTGTATTAGCCCCGATCCCCTATTTACCGCTTCTCCTGTATCCACTTTTGCTTATATGACTTGCCGCGAGGTCTTATTTTTGGTTTCGGAATGTGTTGGGACACTTAGTCCCTAAAATAGAAGCTTAAGTCTTAGAATTTTGACCGTAGTCAGAATTGTGTAAAGACGACTCCGGAATAGACTCCATTAGCTCCATTGGGCGATTTTGGACTTAGGAGCGTGTCCGGACTGTGAATTCGAGGTCTGTAGCTAATTTAGGCTTAAAATGGTGAAAGTCAAATTTTTAGGAAGTTTGACCGGGGGGTTGACTTTTTGATATCGAGGTCGGATTCCTATTCCAAAAGTTGGAGTAGGTCCGTAATATTGAATATGACCTGTGTGCAAAATTTGAGATCAATTGGACGTGGTTTGGTATGATTTGACATCGGTTGTAGAAATTTGAAGTTTTAAGTTCATTAAGTTTGGATTAGAGGGTGATTCATGTTTTTGTTGTTGTTTGACATATTTTTAGGGATCGACTAAGTTCGTATGGTGTTTTAGTACTTTTTGGTGTATTTGGTTGAGGTCCCGGGGGGCCTCGGGTGTGTTTCAGATGCTTAACGGGTTGAATTTGGACTTAAGCAAATTGCTGAAGCTTTGAAGCTTCTGATATAATCACGCATGCGGTGGGTGGCCGCTGGTGCGGGCACGCGCGTGCGTTAGGCCAAGCGCAGAAGCGAGGGTTGAGGAGATGGCCAGGGGTCGTAGGTGTGAGGGAATTTCTGCATCTGCGAGCCTGCAGATGCGCTTGAAGCTCCGCAGATGTGGAGAGTGAGATAGAGGGGACGATCGCAGAAGCAGACCATTGTCCGCAGGTTGGGCGTGCATCGTGGAGGATTGTGACTTGGTCCATCCCGTGAGACTGTAAAGTCGATTAGCCTATTGTTAATTGCTTGTTCTCTCTATCTTCTAGAAATTTGACTGTCGTTCATGTTAGAAACCATGCTTAGGCCATATGATATCACTGTTGGGACCCTTAATGGTCCGGTTCTTGGTTAATTAGCCGCTATTTGATGTCTTGTACTCAGTCACAGTTTTACTTGCGTGTCATATCTTCGTATCCTCTTATTTTCTTGTTGATATTTATTATTATCTCTTTTGGCTGATTTGTATGATTTCTGAAAGCCCGAGGGGACTGGAGATGTTAATGACTAAGATCGGGCCTGAGTGCCAAGCTGTGAGCTATGTGAGGGTATATGGATCGGGTTGCACGCCGCAACGAGCCTTATGGATACTTATATGGTTGGGTCGGGCTGCACGCCGCATCGATATAGCACTTGGGCTGAAAGGAGCCCCTCCGAAGCATGCACACCCCCAGTAAGCGCAAGTACCTATTGAGTGTGAGTACTGAGAGCTGAGAGACGAGTGATTGAGCTTTTGTGATGAGTTGAGTGACTGTTGCGCTGAGAGGATATACTTGCTTTTCATTTGTTGATGCACTTAGTTGCTATCTGTCATTGTTGTAAAATTTTTGAAAGATTCTATATCCGGATTACTTGAACTGTAACTGTATAAAACTGATTTGACTTAAACTGCAGGATTTGAAAGCATGTATATTCTTTGCTGGAATTATTAAAAATGAACTGTATTTGTATAGCTCGTCACTACCTTCTCAGTTCCTTATTTATTTTTGTTACTTACTGAGTTGGTTGTACTCACGCTACACCTTGCACTTCGTGTGCAGATCCAGGTGTTCCCGGTCATAGCTTGTGTTGATATTTGAGCAGCTAATTCCGGAGACTATCGAGGTAGCTGCATGGTGTTCGCAGGCCTTGGCTCTCTTTCATTATCTTATTCGTATTTCAGTTCTTTTTCCTTAGATGTTGTATTAGACTGCTCCTGGTATAGATGCTCATATACTCAGTGACACCCCGATGTCGGATGTCGGGCTAATTTTCTGCACTTATGCTTTGGGTTTTACCCCGTTTTTATGAAAAATTCCGGTTATTTTAAATGTCTTAATTCATTTCTATTAAATGTTGAAAGTGTTTTGGAAATATCGGCTTGCCTAATATCACGATAGGCGCCATCACGATGGGTTAGGTTTTGGGTCGTGACAAGTTGGTATCAGAGCCTAGGTTACATAGGTCTCACGAGTCATGAGCAGGTTTAGTAGAGTCTTGCGGATCGGTACAGAGACGTCTGTACTTATCTTCGAGAGGCTGACGAACCTTAAAGAAACTTCACATTCTTGAATTCTTGTTGTGCGAATCTTTTGATTCTGGTAATTAAATTTATGTTGTTCTAATTCTCTCACAGATGGTGAGGACACGTACTACGGGGTAGGATGGACAACCACCAGTACCACCGGTCAGGGCCGCGAGAGGCCGAGGTCATGGTAGAGGCCGCGGTAGGGGCAGAGGTGCAGCTCACACTACAGTTAGGGCCGCACCTGCAGACCCACCAGTTGCCCAATTTCAGGAGCAGGCTCCAGTTGTGGACGAGCCTGTGGCACCAGCTCAGGCACCACCTATGCCTATTGTGATTCCAAGCCTTTAGGAGGCCTTAGCTCAGATCCTGACGGTGTGTACTAGTCTTGCTTAGGCAGTCTCTATTCCAGCTGCATCAGCCACTTCTTAGGCTGGTGGAGGTACTCAAACGTCCGCCGCCCGCACACCAGAGCAGGTGGTACATGGATTCCAGACACCGGGGGCACCACCAGCCCAGTCGATTGCAGCTGCTCAGGACTATGCGGTTCATGTCATGCTTGATGATGAACAATGTCGATTGGAGAGGTTTGGAAGACTCCAGCCTCCATCTTTCAGTGGTCCGAGGGAGAGGATGTACAAGGCTTCTTGGACAGGTGTCAGAGGATACTCCGTAAAACAGGTATTCTAGAGGCCAGTGGGGACTTGTTCACTACTTTTCAGTTCTCTGTGGAGAAGTTCATGCCACAGTCCTGCAAAGAGGAGATGCGCAGGCAGTTCGAGCCGCTTCATCAGGGTGATATGTATATGACGCAGTATGAGATGAGATATTCAGAGTTGGCCGGTCATGCTATCTGGTTGGTTCCCAAAGACAAGGAGAGGGTCAGGAGGTTCATAGATGGCCTCACTTTCCAGCTGCGATTGCTTATGACTAGAGAGAGAGTGTCTGGTGCTACTTTTGATAAGGTTGTCGATATTGCTCGTCAGATTGAGATAGTTCGCATCCAGGAGAGGGTCGAGAGGGAGGCCAAGAGGCCTCGTGGACAGGGTGTATTTAGCGGTATTCCTTCTGGGGGTCAGTTCCACCACGGTAGGGGTCGTCCTTTCAGATATGCTCAGACGGCCCGTCTAGTTCACCATGGTGCATCATCTGGCCATGGTTCACACATTTTTCAGCAGGGCCATTCATCTCTCAGTGCTCTCCCAGCTTAGAGTTCGTCCCCTACTCCATCAGGTCAGGGCTCGTCTATGCCAGGACCTTCTATCAGTTATCCCGGTGCTTGGGTTCCCTCCAGTCCCCAGCACTAGCACCGGATATTTCCTATGAGTGTGGAGAGTTTGGTCACATGAGGAGGCAGTGTCCCCGCCTAGTCGGAGGTCCAGCTCAGCAGAGGAGCCAGTCTATGACATCAACACTAGTTTCTTCACCACCCGCTCAACCAGTTTGAGGTGGAGCTTAGTCAGCTAGGGGTCGTCCGAGAAGGGGCTGGCCAGACCCGTTTCTATGCTCTTCCTGCTAGACCAGATGCCATTGCTTCGGATGCTATGATTACAGGTATTGTCTCAGTTTGCCATAGAGATGCCTCTGTATTATTTGACCCTAGTTCCACTTATTCATATGTGTCATCGTATTTCCCTCATTATCTGGTTATGCCCCATGAGTCTCTAGTTTCATCTGTTCATGTATCTACTCCAATGGGCGATACTATTATTGTGAACCGCGTATATCGGTCATGTATGGTGACTATTGGGAGCCTAGAGACTAGAGTGGATCTCTTGTTGCTTAGTATGGTCGATTTTGACGTGATTTTGGGTTTGGATTGGTTGTCTCTATGTCATGTTGTTCTAGATTGTCACGCTAAAATTGTGATATTGGCGATGCCGGGGTTGCCGAGGGTTGAGTGGAGCGACTTTATAGACTATGTTCCCAGTAGAGTCATTTCATACATGAAGGCTCAGAGGATGGATGAGAAGGGTTGTCTATCTTATCTGGTCTTTGTGAGGGATGTTAGTGCAGAGACGCCTGCTATTGATTCTGTTCTAGTGGTGTGAGATTTCCTAAATATGTTTCCTGTAGACCTGCCGGGCATGCTGCCTGATAGGGATATTGACTTCAGTATTGATTTGGTACCGAGCACTCAGTCCATTGCTATTCCACCGTACGGTATGGCACCGACTGAGTTGAAAGAATTGAAGGAGCAGCTTTAGGAACTCCTCGATAAGGGGTTTATTAGGCCTAACGTTTCACCTTGGGGTGCACCAGTTCTATTTGTAAAGAAAAAGGATGGTACTATGAGAATGTGCATTGATTACAGGCAGTTGAACAAGTTCACAATCAAGAACAAGTATCATTTGCCGCGTATTGATGATTTGTTTGACCAGCTTCAGGGAGCGATGGTGTTCTCTAAGATTGATTTGAGATCAGGGTATCACTAGCTGAAGATTCCGGATTTAGATATTCTTAAGATAACTTCCAGGACCCGATATGGCCATTATGAGTTCCTTGTGATGTCTTTTGGGCTGACTAACTTCCCATCATCATTCATGCATCTGATGAACAATGTGTTTCAGCCTTATATTGACTCATTCATTATTGTATTCATTGATGACATCCTGGTGTACTCTCCTAGCCAGGAAGAGCATGCCTAGCATCTGAGGATTGTGTTACAGCGTTTGAGGGAGGAAAAACTTTATGCAAAGTTATCAAGTGTGAATTTTGGCTCAGTTTAGTGGCGTTCTTGGGACACGTGGTGTCCAGTGAGGGTATTCAGGTAGATCCGAAGAAGATAGAGGCAGTTCAGAGTTGGCCCAGACCGTCCTCAGCCACGGAGATTTGGAGTTTTCTCGGTTTGGCTGGTTATTACCGTCGTTTTGTTGAGGGCTTCTCATTTATTGCATCGCCCTTGACTAAATTGACCCAGAAGGGTGCTCCTTTCAGGTGGTCAGAGGAGTGCAGAGAGAGCTTTTAGAAGCTCAAGAATGCTTTGACCATGACTCCAGATCTACCATCAGCTTCTGGTTCATACACAATGTATTGTGATGCCTCGCGGATCAACATTGGGTGTGTTTTGATGCAGGAGGATAGAGTGATTGCTTATGCTTCGCGCCAGTTGAAGCCCCATGAGAAGAACTATCCTGTTCACGACCTTGAGTTAGCAGCTATTGTTCACGCCTTAAAGATTTGGCAGCATTATTTGTTTGGGGTCCATTGTGAGATTTACACTGATCATCGGAGTTTGCAGCATCTATTCAAACAGAAGGATCTTAACTTGCGACAGTGGAGGTGGTTGGAGCTTCTTAAGGACTATGATATTACCATTTTGTACCATCCCGGGAAGGCCAATGTGGTGGCCGATGCCTTGAGTCGCCGGGCGGAGAGTTTGGGGAGCTTAGCATTTCTTCCAGCAGCAGAGAGGCCATTGGCATTAGATGTTTAAGCCTTAGCTAGCCAGTTTGTTAGATTGGATGTGTTTGAGCCGAGTCGAGTATTGGCTTGTGTGGTCTCTCGGTCTTCTCTTTATGATCGTATCAGATAGCATCATCATGATGACCCCCACCTTCTTGTCCTTAAGGACACAGTCCAGCACGGTGATGCTAAGGAGGTCACTATTGGGGATGATGGTGCATTGAGGATGCAGGGAAGGCTATGCGTGCCCAATGTAGATGGTTTACATGAGTTGATTCTCCAGAAGGCTCACAGTTTGTGGTGTTCTATTCACCCGGGTGCCACGAAGGTGTATCAGGACTTGAGACAGCATTACTGGTGGAGGAGAATGAAGAAGGACATAGTGGAGTATGTGGCTCGGTACCTAAATTGCCAACAGGTGAAGTATGAGCATCAAGGACCAGGTGGGTTGTTTCAGAAGTTAGAGATTCCGGAGTGTAAATGGGAGCGGATCACTATAGATTTCATTGTCGGGCTTCCACGGACTCAGCGGAAGTTTGATACAGTTTGGGTGATTGTGGATAGGCTGACCAAGTCAGCTCATTTCATTCCTATCATGACTACCTATTCTTTCGAGCAACTGGCTCGAGTGTATTTAAGCGAGATCGTCAGGCTTCATGGCATACCGGTATCTATCATCTTTGACCGGGGCACGTAGTTCACATCATGGTTCTGGAGGGCCGTGCAGCAGGAGTTGGGTACTTGAGTGGAGTTGAGCACAATATTTCACCCTCAAATGGGCGGAGAGTCCGAGCGCACTATTCAGATATTAGAGGATATGCTTTGTACGTGTGTGATGGAGTTTGGGGGTTCGTGGGATTAATTCTTACCACTAGCGGAGTTTGCCTAACACAATAATTATCAGTCGAGCATGCATATAGCACCATATGAGGTTCTGCATGGTAGGCGGTGTAGGTCTCCACTGGGTTGGTTCAAGCTGGGCGAGGCTAGATTATTTGGTACAGACTTGGTTTAGGATGCTCTGGAGAAGGTTAGGGTGATTCAGGATAGACTACGCACAGCCTAGTCCAGACAGAAGAGTTATGTAGATCGGAAGGTTCGCGATGTTGCATTCATGGTTGGAGAGCGGGTCTTGCTCCGGGTGTCACCCATGAAGGGTGTTATAAGGTTCAGAAAGAAGGGCAAGCTGAGCCCGAGGCTTATCGGTCCATTTGAGGTATTGCAACGTGTTGGGGAGGTTGCTTATGAGCTTTCCTTGCCTCCCAGTCTAGCAGGAGTTCATCCAGTATTCCATGTTTCTATGCTCCGGAAGTATCACGGTGATCCGTCTCACGTGTTGGATTTCAGCTTAGTCCAGTTGGACAAGGATTTATCTTATGTTGAGGAGCCAATGGCTATTTT